CGATGTTGCGTGATGCGAGAGGGCAATCAAGTCAGAACGCGCGGTTTTGAGGAGAGCATCACCACTGCCGTCTCCGTCAGGAGATCGCAGGATGACCGGTTGTGGCTTCAGAGCGCAAATAGCACCTGCCCACCAGGCACATCAATCCACATCAAATTCTCGTGAATCTCGAGTCGATTTAACTTGCTGTTTCAGTTTTATTCGATATGTGTATGCACCGGACAGCAATTCAGAGTGCGTTCTTCGTTTGTCGTTACAACACGACTGAGGAAAGGCAGAGATTTATTTCTAAAATCTCATTGGATGAACAGTGAATGTGCATGAACAAATGAGGCCAAAATCCTGATTCGGTCCAAATTCAAGTACTGTATTTAGTAATCGTTACAGTCAACCCCGGAAAAATCCGACCACAAAGCATGATATGCTTACACTTCGTGGAGGCTGCCGTCAAGGCCGCCGATCCGTACCATCGCTCGACATTCCGTGCGCTGGCCGAGTCCACAGGCATCGCGTCGACAATGCTGTGGAGGCTCGTTCGGGCCAAGACGATTCGACGACGCACAAGTCGCGCGAAGCCCATGCTGACGGACAAGCACAAGGCCGAGCGGGTGGCGATTGTTTGTTTGTTACTACGTACGAGACGTGATAACGAGCTCGTGTGGCACGATATGTTCAATCGGGTGCACATTGATGAGAAATGGTATTTTGTGACGCAGTCAACCGACGCTACTACCTGTGGCGTGATGAAGAGTTCCCTGCATGCACTTGCTAATCCAAGCGGCACATCACGAAGGTCATGCTCCTGACTGCGGTTGCAAGACGTCGCTTAAGCGGCAAGTGCGAAGGGATGTGGGATGGCAAGATCGGTACCTGGGCTCTGTTGGCAGTTTCCATTGCACTTGTAATCATGTCCGACATCGTGATGGATGCGGTGGCCATCCTCATCGACATCAAAAGCGACATCGCCGACAGCAGCAATATCAACGCTGATCCTAGGGCCGGAGCAGGTGGCGATCCATTGAACCGCAATGGCAATTACGATGCTGCACCAGGAGGGCGAAAACGTGGTCAGCAAGGCAGTGAGTGACCTGTGGAGTCTCTACCTCGACGACGTTAACCCGCACCAGCACAAATTGGCCCTCAGTAAGCACTGCCGCAGTGCTAGTGAATCATCACAAGAAAAGCGAATCAGCGAAGGTCCATGTGAACAAATGTGCTCCGTTCCACAAGCTCATCAACAGTATGGAGGAGGATACCCGAATAGTACAAGACGGTCCTGACCAGCAACATTATCACGCTGCAGGAGTACCTGGTGGTTCTGGCACAACGACGTTTCCAGTTCATGTACGGCGTACCTCACGGTCTGTCGTATCGCTCGACCCAAGACACATTGGAGACGGGCTGCCTGCGGATTCACGACGCAGTGTGGAGGAAGTGTTGATCAACAGTCCTGTCGACGATATTACGCCCATTGACGGCAACCGCAAGGAGAAGCTGTACATTCAGTTCACGACGTGCTTCATTTCTGCAGCAGGCGAACTCCTTCAGTTACCAGATACTGCCCAAGGGATCGAAGACCGTGATGCAGTACTTGCAGACCGATTAATGTCAGTGGGTAGGGGTGCAAAGCGTCGCGATCCATCTCTTTACCTTTAGTATGGCGACGTTTAGTGCAGTGAAACTTCTCAACGATAGGCTTCATCCATTCCAAGCTGAGGAACTCCCTGAGCGCCAAGACTGTTGAGAAGCTCATGTTCATCAAGAACAACATGGGTGCGTTCTACAGTTGTCCGACGGGCGACGAGTACGCCAGCGAGAGTGATTCCGATCGTGCCAGCCTCGACTAATGTTACCCGGAATAAAGCCATAGTTTTAATACCCAGGAACCGGGTTTCAATTATTAAAGCCTTAAACCCGTTTTGTCAGGCGAAAAAAGTCGGGTTTTCACCACCCCTGACTATAGAGGAACACTATACCATTTGCTTTGGTACAATACCATAGAGATCGGCACACTTTGAGTTATTAATATTTTATTACTCCAATGTGAAAAAATAAGAAATACTACTCCGGTCCAAAAAAGTTGTCACATCCGTATTCACTTGATTAAACTATGCTATGCTACTGCAAAGACGGATATCTTGATTAAAGTATGCAACCCTAAGAACACATTTTGCCATCAGAAAATATTTTGATATTTTAAACATTGGCTGCAGCGACTTGATTTTGAGAAT